GGAAGCATGGCCAGGGCTGAGGGGAGTCTGCAAGGGAGATGGAGAGGGGCTTTTATGAGAGCATGGAGTGACGGGGCAGGGGGGATGGCTTCACACTGACAGAGAAGAAGGTTAGACTGGATAATCAGAAATATTCTTTACTCTGAGGGGCATGGAGTGACAGGGCAGGGGGGATGGCTTCACACTGACAGAGAGGAAGGTTAAACTGGATAATCAGAAATACTCTTTACTGTGAGGGACATGGAGTGACAGGGCAGGGGGGATGGCTTCACACTGACAGAGAGGAAGGTTAGACTGGATAATAGGAAATACTCTTTACTGTGAGAGGGGTAACAGAGAAGCTGTGGATGCCCGGTCCCTGAAGTGTCCAAGGTTGACCAAAACGCTGTGGCAGGCGCTGTCCCTGCCGTGGCGTGGGGCTGACACCAGCTGAGCCTCGCTGTCCATCTGCACACCCGCGGCAGCCGCAGGGCCAGGGTCAGCTCCAGAGCCGGGGGCAGCCCCAAAGTCTGGGGCAGCTCCAGACCCAGGGGCAGCTCCAGACCCAGGGGCAGCTCCAGAGCCAGGGGCAGTTCCAGACCCAGGGGCAGCTCCAGAGCCAGGGGCAGCTCCAGAGCCAGGGGCAGCCGCAGACCCAGGGGCAGCTCCAGACCCAGGGGCAGCCGCAGAGCCGGGGGCAGCTCCAGAGCCAGGGGCAGCTCCAGAGCCGAGGACAGCCGCAGAGCCAGGAGCAGCACCAGACCCAGGGGCAGCTCCAGACCCAGGAGCAGCTCCAGACCCGGGGACAGCCGCAGAGCCAGGGGCAGCCGCAGACCCAGGGGCAGTCGCAGAGCCAGGGGCAGCTCCAGAGCCGAGGGCAGCTCCAGAGCCGGGGGCAGCTCCAGACCCAGGGGCAGCTCCAGAGCCGGGGCAGCTCCAGAGCCAGGGGCAGCTCCAGAGCCAGGGGCAGCTCCAGACCCGGGGACAGCCGCAGAGCCAGGGGCAGCCGCAGAGCCAGGGGCAGCTCCAGACCCAGGGGCAGCTCCAGACCCAGGGGCAGCCGCAGAGCCAGGGGCAGCCGCAGAGCCGGGGCAGCTCCAGAGCCGGAGCAGCTCCAGAGCCGGGGCAGCTCCAGAGCCAGGGGCAGCTGCAGAGCCAAGGGCAGCTCCAGACCCAGGGGCAGCCGCAGACCCAGGGGCAGCTCCAGACCCGGGGACAGCCGCAGAGCCAGGGGCAGCTCCAGAGCCGGGTGCAGCTCCAGACCCAGGGGCATCTCCAGACCCAGGGGCAGCCGCAGAGCCAGGGGCAGCCGCAGACCCAGGGGCAGCTCCAGAGCCAGGGGCAGCCGCAGACCCAGGGGCAGCCGCAGAGCCAGGGGCAGCTCCAGAGCCAAGGGCAGCTCCAGACCCAGGAGCAGCTCCAGACCCGGGGACAGCCGCAGAGCCAGGGGCAGTCGCAGAGCCAGGGGCAGTCGCAGAGCCAGGGGCAGCACCAGACCCANACCCAGGAGCAGCTCCAGACCCGGGGACAGCCGCAGAGCCAGGGGCAGTCGCAGAGCCAGGGGCAGTCGCAGAGCCAGGGGCAGCACCAGACCCAGGGGCAGCTCCAGACCCAGGAGCAGCTCCAGACCCGGGGACAGCCGCAGAGCCAGGGGCAGCCGCAGAGCCGGGGGCAGCCCGGGGCCGGGAGGGGCCGCGGGCTCCGGCGCGGCGGGGCCGGGCGCTGCGGTGGCGAGCGGCGCGGGTGCCATGGCATGCTGCGGTCCCGCCGCCGCTGCACATGCTCAGCAGAGAGCCGGGCGGCTCAGCCCCAGCCCCGGCGCTGCTGCCGCTGCTGCGGGGAGCCCTGCGCGCCTCGCCGCGGCTCCGGGGGCGCGGGGGGCGGCCGTGCCCCGGCTCGGCGCATGGGGCTCGGCGCTCCCCGCGGCACGCTCGCCGGCCGGGGCTGCTCCAATATGTGCTGGGACCTCTGGAGCTGTCAGCGGGCAGACAAGGACACGGGCAGCGGATTTTCGTGGCTGTACTAATGAAAGGGTTCAAGCTCGCCTGGTAAGCGCGGGGCGGGGGGGATGCTGCGGCTCCCCTCCCTCCCCGAAATGGGGAAAAAGGGATGCGCTCCGCCAAGTTGCCGGCGCGGCCGCTGCGGCATCGCCGGGGGGATCTGGGTGCGGGGAGGGAGGGAGGCACCGGGAGAGGCTCCGGCGGTGCATGCGGCGCTGGGCCGCTGCTGTCCGGGCAGCTCCGCAGCCGCGCTGCGATGCGCGGAGCGCTCCGGCCGCATCCCTGCTCCGCTGCCGGGCTCTGCCTGAGCCGCATCCCCCGCGCTCGGGGTGCCTGGGCACGCAGGAAAACAAACACGGGCAGTTCTGGCCGGAGAAAGGTGGGGGGATAAAAAAGTGTTTTGGATGCTGCGTGCGTGGAATGGCTCCTGCTCGGCTTGTCCTTTAAACAGCGGCTTTTGGGGATGCTCCTCACTGGCGTGGTGCTGTAAGGACACAGACGGCAGAGTTCCAGGGAGCCCAGAGCTGCCAGCGAGGTACCCCAGTGCTCGGTAATTCTTTCATCGTCCCTGGATGTTTTGGGGGGAAACTCTCCAGGTTTGGCTAAGTGGGCAGTGAAAGAAAACATTGTGTGGGTGAAAGGCAATTGACAAAGCTCTGTGTGTGTGTGTGTGCCTGAAATGTTCCCGCGTAAGTA